ACACACACTGATATATCTGGGGAACAAATAGGCACCAAAAAGAAAACGTTTGTAACTTTTAAAGTGATGCTTATAAGTTTACTCCTGATGTTTAGGATATAAGGAAGCACCAAACCAGCGTCTGTACTTTAATGCTGAGTGTTTTCAGCTACTAAAGCCTGTAACACTGTTACTGTAATATAAATACTGACATTTAACATGTAATCTGTGTCCATAATAACCACATCCTGAAAAGTAGATGTGACCTGAAGGTTTTCTGAATAAAGAGCACAAACATTTACATTCAACTGATTTTGATTAATTATTTTTTATATTATAAATATATATTATATAATTCTTTATAACAAATTCAACACATAGGTAAACATTTTTTTACTGGTGGACAAAATGAGTCGTACATGAACATCACCTTGCTCAAAGAACAAAACCAACACTCACAACAAATTACAGCATTACTTTAGTCGTGAACATTTCGGCCCAATAAAAGAATTTCAACTATTTACTATTTTACTAATTCAAAATAAATTAAGATTTTTTTTAATCAATGTAACATTTTTTAATAACTTTATTGTTTTATTTTAAATTTAATAGGTATGTTTTCTAAGGGAGAATTAAGTTATTCTTTCCTGGAGAAAATTCATAGTCAGTGTTCACCTGAAAAAAAGAGAGGTGTTCCTCATTTCAGGCTAACGAGCTTGACCTGCTGTGTTCTCCAGCAGCCTGTATCGATGTTCCTGCTGGGCTGTGGGAGGTTCAGCAGGTTCTGACACCGGAGCCACTGGAGGTGAGGCAGAGCCTTGAAGCAGCACAGAGAGCTCCTGCTTCTTCTGCCTGTTATTGTGCCGCTGAATGAGGGGGTTCTGATTCACCTCCACCAGTTGGATGTCTGTCCCTAAATTACTGATGACAAGTTCCCTGATCCCTAATCTTGTGGTAGTCCCTCAGAGAAATTCATCATCTGTCATTCATTGTAAAAATGTTACAATAAGTGGAGACAGGTGTTCCTCATTTCAGGCTAACGAGCTCAGTCAGACTGTGGCCCGCTGGGCTGCAGCTCACTACAACAGGACATTCAGCCTCATCTTTCTCTCTTCCTCTCCCTATAGGCCAACCCTGAAGAAATAATGGATATGGTGTAGTTAGATTAGTTTACAATGACTGTCACAAAACTCAAACGGAGGCTAGATATCACACGGTGTCATTGTATTCCTTACAAAAGCTGTGATTTCCCCTAAAATGACTCCTATGAAATAGTCCTCATATGATGATGTTTATTTCAGACATACCTGGAAACAGGACAGCTTGGGGTTTCTGTAGTTTGTTACTGTGGGACAGAGTGGGCTAATGTTTCCATTCACTTCAATTCATTATGCTAAGCTAACACAATTGTAACAGACTGTTTTGTGTTGATATGTGAAAAGGAGGTGTATCCCAAACTTTTCATTTAATTCACAGAGGATTATTAATACTAGGGCTTAGAAATAGTTTAATGTACTGTGTTTTCATTGTTGACAAATAAATATTTGGTTGTTGAAAAAATATAAGGACATTAAATATATATGAGCTTCTATTGATTCTGAAATATTGGTGATAATGTTCTGCATAACCTAGGAAAGATTTATCAAGATATAAAAAGTAGTACTTTGAGCTGATATTTTCCAGTGAAAAATCACACTAAGCACTGAATCCTAAAGGTAAAATAAATAAACAAGACAGTGTGTGTGTGAGTGTGTTTGTGTATTAAAAATTCAAAATAAAACAGTAAACGTGTGTTTGTTTGTGTGTTGAAAAATATTAAAAATAAAATAAATAAAACAGTAAGAGTGTGTGTTTGTTTCAGTGTGTGTGTTTGTGTTAAAAACTATTCAAAATTAAATAAGACAGTAAGAGTGTTACAATTTAAGATAAACAAAAGAAAAACAGTAATCAAATCAATCTGTAATATGGTGTTAAAGCAGATCACTCAGACTCATTTTGCTCATCATCATCATCATCAAGTCTCATGTAAATAAATCTTCACATTTAAAA